AACCTTTAGGAAAAACCTCACTTGAATATAAAACTAATAACAACTCTGTCTTTGTTGATTCTTCTGGGGCAGGGTAAGATCTAGACACAGCTCACGTCTATGCTGAAATGAATCTGAGTTGGTTAGAATGTGTCCATTTCTTAACTTAGATAGGATTTCTAAAGTAATGGGACTCTGCCTGGATGTTTCTTAGTTCTCCCAGGATGGAAACCGAGTTCCTGAAGAAATGCTTTGGAAACTGTCTAGCCCAGGCACTGGTGGAATTTGTAAAGATTCGACCCAATGACCCAATAGAGTACTTGGCTCACTGGTTTTATCATTACCGGAAAACCACAATGGCAAAAGAGGTATGTGTTTGCGCCCAAACCACCTTAGAGAGCTTCCCGGTTTCCCTAGAGTAATTCTGGAGCTGCCAGGGGAATTTCTTGGTTTGGGTCCTTATATCCCTCACAGGTCCTGGTATGATACTGTAAGATAAACACTGGACTGTTAACCAAAAGGTCAGCAGTTCAAACCCACCAGCCAAATATTGGAAACCCTACACAGGGTCACTGTGCGTCCAAACAAACTCCATGACCCTTATCAACAAGAAAATCCCTGAAATGTGGGCCCACTAGGGACTACAGAGAAAAATCATCCTATTGGGTGTGTGGAGTAAACACTGGTAAAGCTAACCATAAGGTTGGAAGTTCAAACCCAACAGCCACTCTTTGGAATCCCTATACACGGTCGCTGTGAGTCATCACTGATTTAACATTACTTAACAAGAAGCAGCAGCAGTAGAGTAAAGCTAGTTACGGGAGCAAACTCAGCAGACCTGGAGGGCCTAGGATCTAGCAGCAGGGAGAGTGAGCTCTTTTGTCCATGTCACCTAGATGCGGAACTGATGTAACTCCATCACCTCACCTAGAATACAACAGAGAAGATTCAGCTGAAGGAGGAACATTATAAGAGCTTCAAAGAAGCAGAATTGATAGACATGCTGAAGCAAGACAAAAATCATATTCAACAGAAATGTGAAAAATGCCTCAAGGTAGGAAGGAAGAAATGAATACTGTGTACACATGTCACAGAAGTGGAGACCAGGAAATCCACAAGTCAGCCTACCACAGTGTAATGCACAGAAGTCTACTTTTTCCTCCACACTCCTATGTTGTTAGCTGCCCCTGAGTC